TTTGGGATTGCTTTGGCTTCTGGGGATGACCCCGTACGAATGTTCGAAGGGGCATGGCAAATAACCTGGCGGGAGGGGTTTGAGTTTGCAGATCCGGAACGAGATGACGTGACGGCTGAGGTAAAAGTCGCCGCGGCAGGGGTTTTTGAGCTGCCAAATGAGGTCGTACGGATGGGTCTACCACCCTTCCTGCTAAGACGAATGGGAGGCATAGAACGAGTGGAGCAGGCGGTGACTGCCGTAACTAGGCTAAATTTTGACGAAGCACTAATATATTGAGAATATTATCGGGTCTTCCTAGAGATGGGGTGATGAGACGATGTGGAGAGTCATCCGGCGAGAGGTAGGTCGGGGTGCGACCTACATAGATGATCTCTACCGGCTGTACGAACAGCCAGAGGAGGCTACCGCTCCCAGGGGTATAGAGGGATAGTTGGGACTAGAAAAGGGAAATGAAAACACGAAGGGCAAGGGAGGCTGTAGGTAGGCGGATTGTGAAGATTGGCTGTAACCCTTTCTATGTGAACTATGCAGGGAATCACCAAGGTAACAATGACAGCAAGACGTGAGCGAATGGAATGCCAGCCCCGTGTGCGAATGGAACGCCAGCCCCGGTACACCGGACCGCCCTGGAACAACGGTGGATGATGGGAAGTATCCCTCCCGTTGCGTTCCACCTATCGGGGGTTCGACATAGAATGGCGGATCGTGACTTTGGGAAGGGACGCCGCCTTTATGTTGGTAGAATGTCGGTGGACAGGGATGAGACTCCACCGAGGAGCCGGAGACGATCTGTTTTCTAATCTGGAAGTTATCGGGACCATGTATTTGCCTGAGATCGGCTGACATTTGTTGGGGGTAGAGATAGCACAAGGTCACGAGCTGGCACCGGTCTTTCAAAGGGCCGCCCGGACGTTGACCCGGATAGGACAATCGGTTAGGGGAAGAAGGAACGTGGGCTTGCTAACCCGGGTGGAAATGAGAGATTGGAGAGAGTTCAGCGTACCGACCACACCGCTGAGATGCCGAGTGCCCCGTTTTATGATAGACCTCGTCTTCGGAAGCCTCGCAAGGGCGCAGGAGCTGGCAGACTCAGCGATAGTCTGGGCAAGCCAGTTTCCCTTCCCTACCATTGGGATGTTCTACGATGTCGTTGTGGAGCATAGGCCGTTCTGGGGAAACAGGGCCCACGAATTACTAGAGGTCATCCACATCCTGATGTTTTGTGCGCCCCGGCTAGACTGGACAGGGTGCGAACGCATAATCCAAAGGGAAATCGAGATAGGGGAGAATTATCTAACAGGGGTGGCTCGGCTATTCGAGGAGCCTACCGAACCAGAAGAGCCGCGAGAGCGGGATTAGCATCCGCAGGTGGGTCAATAGGGCAAATCGAGTATAGTTCGCTGTGTACGGAAGTTCGCCAATGGGAATAAGAAAGGGGCCTCGAACCTGGATGGCTAAAACCCACTAGAAAAACAAAGAAGGGGGGGGGCAGACTCCTAATGATTGACCATAACCCTGAAGGTCAAAAACGGGAAACGCTGCTCGGGAAGGCTTCCCCTAGCAGGATGCCTAACCCGGACTCCCTCGCGTCGGCCGACGGGACAAGGGCACTACAAACGAGCTTGTGATAAAGGAAGCCCAGTCCCGTTCATAGCTCGGCTGGGCGGCAGGGCCAGTCGCAGATCCTCCTTAAGGAAGGGCAATCAAGAAACAGGGATAGGAAAGGAGGCTATAAAGATAAGCCAACAAAGCTGGGAGCCTAAGGGACCTAAATACCTCGCATTGTGTGTGTCCTGGGAATTCTTTGGCTTATGCAGAACTAGGGAAAATGGCAACAGAGGAGGAGACTGATAACCATAAGAGTGAAGGAGAACCAGACTTAGAAGGCAGTGCCGCGCAGAGCGAAGGGGGGCAGAAGGACAGAGAATCGATAAATTCGGATGGTACCAAAGAGAACCGGAAGGAAATCTCCACACGAGAAAGCTCGGGGAAAGCCGGGGGAAGCAGACAAGGGACCTAGGGGACCAAGGAAGGCAAAAATAAGGATAGGACAAACCCCCTAAACTCGAAAGGAGCCATGCCTAAGAAAGTAAGGGTCACGAACACGAGGCGCAAACTAGCCGAGATAAACAAGAGGACCACGTAATACAAGGCAAGGCTGATTGAGGAAATGATGATTGGGAACGAAGAAGGTCCTCTGCAAGAGGAACCCCGGGACGAACGGAAAGCCAGCCAAGGTGGGATTGGACAAGGGGATAAAGGTAGTGACCGTGGGGGAATGCCGAGCAAGAGAAGGAAAGAGAGAGAGAACTCTCCGGGGATGGAAGCAGAAAAGGCTACGACTCCGCCAGCCATGGATAGTAGGGCTTGCTGCCTGCCGATCACGCCAACAGTAGCGCGAGGGTGCGAAGGACTTTGGAGCCTTAGGGAAAGAGTGTTGGGGTGGTTTGACCCGGAAGGAACTATGAAAATCAGGGAGGGACAGAAGGCCGGCAAGGAAAGTCCGGATAACAGTGTGGCAGGCGAGGCCAGCAGCTCCGAGGGTGGCCTTAAGAAGATAGTGTCGTCCCTCGCGCGAGCATTAAACAAAAATCAAGGCTATCTGGCAGACGCCAAGAAAAAACTGACTTTCGATGGAGCAAATATCACGGAGTTCCTGATCGACTACGAGAACCTAGTTGCGTTACTGAAGTGGACCGAGGAGGAAAAGATGGACCATCTAGGACAGCATATGTCGTTAAGCCTAGGACGGGACATAATGGCCATTGTAGCCGCAAGCCGGTCTTGGAAGGAGACCCGGGATGTGATGATGAGGAAGTACCTAGCGGCAGAAAAAATGGCAACGGAGGCCGACCTAACGGCAGTTCAGAGGAAGAACTTCGCAACGTATAATAATTTCCTACGAGAATTTACTCTGGTAGCACTAAGGATCCCCGGGGTCACGGACCGGATAATGAGCAAATATTTCCTCAGGCAGTTCTCCGAGTTCGACAAAGACAAAATCCTGTCAGCTTACCAACATACGAGGAAGTTCGTAAACACGCGGGATGTTGATTTTAGCACGGTAACGGATTTGGCTGAGAAAACGGTAGTAACAGAGACGTTGGCCTTGCTCAAGGAAGGAGAGGTCATAGATCTCACCGGTAGGACGGGCGACAAGGTAAAGAAGGGGATTGAAAGTCTACATGAACGGGTGCATGGGGTCGACAATAAGATTGAAAGAATGGAAGGCGCGCTACTGGTTATGCAGGCGCAAGTGTCTCGACCTGCCCTCCCTCCCCAGGAAGCTGTGGTCCCGCCAGGTGTAGCAAACCTAGGATTCGGATGGAGAGATCCTGCTAACGAGCAATGCAAGTACTGCACCGCGATAGGACATTATGTGCGCTCATGCCCAAAGCTCAACCATGATATTCTGAAAAGAAGGTGTACAAGGTCATTAAAGGGGGAGATATTTGGACCACAAGGGGAACGGGTGAACTGAAACTCACCAGGAGGGATGCGGCGAGCCATTATCATGCTCAATGGGTTAGAAATAACAGCCGTAGAAGCCGAACCGGTGGGTGAGATCATCTGGGATCAACTCCGGGGGCGCGAACCGCAGACCAACTTTATTTTGGAAAGCGACGGACGTGATACGGTGAATGCAACCACTCGACTGGGAACGGCCGGGAGAAGGATTAACCGTGACACCATTATGGAGGAGGTCGCTGGAAGCTCCGAGCCCCAGGCACAGCCTGAGGCCGAGGAACCAGAGAAAGTCTATGGGAAGCCCAGGGAAGAGGAGCCTGCGGACAAGGCTACCGCCGCCAAGAAGAAGTTTAGGTATCAAATCCCGATATTGACCTTGCCTGAGCTCGACGACACTATTAGCAAGTTACTAGGAACCATGGTGTCGATGTCTTTTCAGACCATGCTGCAGGCTAGTCCTAGGTTGCTCAAGGGGCTCAGACAACTGTTGACTCGGAGGCGAGTAGAAATATGCGACAACCCCAAATTACCAGAAGGGGAGAGGGAGGAGGAAGCTCCGCAAGAAGTGGCTAACCTTCAGAGGAATCACGAGGACTTGGAGGATCTCGAAAAGGCCTTTGCAGACATTCGTTTGAGCTTGCCCGACCGAGAGGGCGGCGAAGTCATGAGATCACTACCCGGGACGAAGCTTAGCTTTCATGCGCTACCCGTAGGGAAATTGAAAATCCAGATCGGGAGTCATCACACCGACGCATTAGTAGACGGGGGAGCAGAAATCACTTCCATAAGGAGAGATTTCGCAACGATCACGGGATGTACGGTAAACAAGGAAGTAACCGGGAACATCCGGGGAGCTGGCGGGGAAATCCCTTTCGCTGGGTACGTCATGAAGTGTGCTGTGAAGGGAGGGGTCAGGGAATCGATCTGGTCGTTTCAGCGGATGACCGTAATGGAGGAAATGGACCACGACATAATCCTCGGGAGACCGTGGTGCGCGAACGTAGAGATGATAGGCATGCACTTGCACGATGGCTCGTACATGGTACACATAGAGGACCCTGTGACCGGTCGGAGAGAGCTCCTCCGACTCCTTGGAACGGGAGGAGACACTCCAAAGGAAAAATTGGCAACATGGTCGTCGTCGTTCGAGGATAGCACTCGAAAAGGGGCTTTCGCACGGATGAAGGGTATGACAGAAAGGGTAGAAATCATGATTGAGGAGACATTCAACAAGAAGGAATGGATCAAGATGGACCTGCCCCAGAAGAAGAGGAGGCAGAAGGACGAAGTCCTAGATGTTATGGTAGCGGAAAAGGAGTCAGAGGTCGAACTTGGTGCTAGCCTGCCCAAACGGAAAGAAGTACGCATAGACGTGCCGAAAATCGCACTCGAGATCCCCGATCTATTGCAACTCATCAAGGCCCTCAGATACCACAAGGTAAGAGTGGATTCGGCAGCCTTGGCCAAGTTCGAAAGAGAGGTGCAAAAGGGATATTGCCTGAATGGGAAACTAGTTAGTATTGAACCACGAGTCGTAGAGGCGGCGGGGGCAATTCCGACTGTTCATTTTTTAGGAGGAAGATCCCGGAAGGAAGTGTTCGAAAGTACAAGCCGGTAGGGAAGAAAGCAAAACCGGTCTCGATCCTACTAGAGACATCAAAGGAAGAGGCTATTGAGAAGGAGGAAGAGGTCCTTCGAGTGATACGAGAAAGAAGGGCGACGGAGGGACATCGGATACCGGACGAAGTAGCGGACACAATGAAGATAGGGATAGACGGGTTCTTAACGGAAGAAGAAACCCGCCTGATCAAAAGGACCTGCCAGGAATTTCACCTGGCATTTGCCTTTAGTGATCACCAGAAGGGACGACTGGATGCGAAGTTGATCCCTCCGGTCAGAATCCACACGGTAGAATATGAGTGTTGGAATGACAAGGGGCCATCCTATGAATTTGGGATAGCCGGAGAAGTAACAGACCTCCTCCGAGCAAAGATGGACTCCTTCGTTGCGGAGCCTACGGCATCACCATACGGAAATCGGTGGTTCGTCTTTCGGAAGCCTAACAAGACGCTAAGGTGGATTCAGGACCTGCAGAAGTTGAATGCCGTAACCATCCGGAATGCTGACTCGCTACCTCAGGCTGACTTATTAGCAGAATCGCACGCCGGTCGGAGCATTTACTCCCTGATAGACCTGTACTCAGAGTACGACCAGCTTCCATTGGATGTTCGGGACAGGCCATACACCGCTATGCACACCCCCGTAGACCAACTACAAATGCAAGTGACACCTATGGGATTGACAAACGAGGTGGCCGAAGCGCAATGCAGGATGCTCGCCATGGACGGGGACATGTTCCCAAAAAAATGTGAACCTTACATCGATGACAATCCGATCAAAGGCGCGCAGGAAAAGGACGAGACAGAAGTCCAGCCAGGGATCCGACGTTTTGTGTGGGACCACCTGCAGGACATCAAAGACTTACTCTGCCGGTTCTTAGTATACAACATTACGGCTAGTGGACCAAAGAGTATCTTAGCAGTACCAGAGGTAACTATACTATGATTTCGTTGCGGTGCTTACGGCGGGAAGCCGGATCTGGTAAAGACCGACAAGATATCACAGTGGCCGACATCATTGCGCACTACGACGGAGGTAAGGGCATTCCTAGGCGTAGTCGGCTTTTGGAGGATCTTACTTAAGAACTTTGCCAAGATTGTTGAGCCTATCCGGGCTATGATCAGGGAAGAAGGAACCATGGATTGGACGGAGGAGCGAGAAGGGGTTGTCCAAAGGCTCAAGGACATATTGACATCTGAGACAGTCGCCCTGTCCGCGCCTTGTTTTAATGACGAAGTGGGACGACCCTTCATCCTAGAGACGGATGGAGGACCTTTGGCCGTAGGAGGTGTGTTGATTCTAAGGGATGAGGGATGAAAAGAGAGGCCGATTAGGTTTGAAAGTAGAACCCTGAACTCCGCAGAACGGCGGTACTCGCAATTCAAGAAGAAAGCCCTAGCCATCCTGCATTGCTTTAAGACCTTCCAGGCCTACCTATTTGGGAGGCGGTTCATCTTAAGGATCGATCCGACGAATGTCGCAGGGGCTCTAAAGAATTATAGGCCTATAGATCCGATGGTAGGGAGATGGGTAGGATTCATCTGGCAGTTCGATTACAAGATCGAACGGATTGCTGGAATCCGCAACAAGGCAGATGGGCTGAGTCGGGTTTGCATCACCCCCGAAGGGATGGAGGATGCAGAGCCCATAGACGCCTTCCTCGAATACGAAGGAGGAACTTTTGAGGTGGACAATGAAATGATGAGCGGAGAATGCACATCGGGAGAACTATTGATCCAAACTTTGGAGAAGGGGGCAACTGCCGTAGTAGCAGAACTGACAGAAGGACCAGTCACCACTCGAGGACACAGAGAAGAAAAAGACTCATGGGGAGCGATAGTAGGACCGAAAGAGGAGCTAATAGCAATGGCAGTCGAAGGAGGCCGGTAAGCAGTGATGAGCTTAGTGGAATCTTGGGAAAGGAAAGAGTTGCAATGGGTGATAAATCAGATGCAGGAAGGAAACGATGGGGGCAAGGAAGGAGAGGAGTTTTTTATGTCCAATCATACGAAGGGCTCTTTCGGGAGATCGGTTTGTTGTTGGTAGGAAACAAACAACCTACGGAAGTCAGTATTAAGGCAAGAGAAGAAACCGAAAGGTACGTCCTAAGGGGCGGGCATTTGTTCCGAAGGGAGGAAGGTGCTATGCCCAGAAGGGTTGTGTGCGGAAGATCTAGGCAAGTTGACGTTATCCAGGCAATGCACGACGGGTTAGCTGGAGGTCATCGGTCGTCCAAAGGAACACTTGCAAAGATAACGCCGCTCTATTATTGGCCAGGCATGACAGACATGGTCGCCATATACTGCCAGACTTGCCTCATTTGCCAAGAACAAAGCTCGGTACGAGTCTTCGAGCCGCTTGGACCAACGCGGGTACTAGGGTCGGGACATCTGGTCCACCTCAACCTTGCGGTCATATGCCTGTATCAACGGATGGGTACAAGTATATCCTGGATGCGCGAGACAACTTGAGTGGATTTGTGGAGGCAGTCGCCCTCAAGAAAAAGACAGGAAGGAGTGTGGCGGACTAGATAGAAGACTTATACTTAAGGCATCCGTTCGTCATGGGTTTATAGCAGACAATGAGACGGAATTTGTGAACCAAGAAGTATTAAGGATGCTTAAGAGACTCTGCGTACCGATCAAACTCATTGAGCCGTATCACCCTGAGGCCAATGCACATGTGAAAAGGGGGCACCGAACCTTGAAGAACACGATTGCAAAGCTCGCAGCAGACCATCTGGGGAATTGGCCTAGGTATCTTAAGCAGGCTGTCTTTGCAGAGAATATGACTCCTAAAAGGACAACAGGGTGTATCCCGGCAGAGCTTTGGTACGGAAGAGAGATCGACTTTTCTGTGGAAGCCTTGGTACCTACCTGGGACAGGTTAGATGATGATCCGCAAATGACCACTGAAGAATTTATCGAGGCAAGATGTCAACAAATCCTTAAGAATGAGGAGGTCATGGAAGACATCGCCAGCCGGGTGATGGACAGCAGAATGAGGGACAAAGAAAGGTGGGACCAGGTTAAGAATGTCAGAAAGGAACCACTTCAGGTGGGGGAGGTATTGCTAAGGAACTCGGCACTAGAAAGTACTTGGTCGGGACAGTTGGGAAGGAGGTTCAAAGGACCCTACCGGGTCGCCAAGCGGGTGGGACTGAGCACCTTCGAACTGGAAGATTTGGATGAAACTGGATTGAAAGGGCCCTTCCCGGGGCAACGACTGGTCAGGTTTCTAAGTCGGGACCCAGTGGAACAATGGCTTCAGGAGACCGAAGATAAGGAAACAGAGGAGCCACAAGCTAAAGACTGATCACAACCTTGCCCACACTATGGTTTGTCTCTGACCATGTTCGTGGGACTGTCATTTTTTTTGGGACTGGCGCTTTGGCTTGGACTGACTCAGGTTGAAAGGCAGCATGACTTGGGGGTTTGCAATATTTGGCTTGTGTGATAACGGGAAGGGATGTTTGGGTTATTGTACCATAGTTTTTTATGGGAAAAAAAAATGGGGTCATCACAAACGACGCATTCGCATGTATAAAAGAGGCGTGGTGCGAGGGATACTGGGTGCATTTTGGGAATGTCTACCGGCCTAAAGGGGGGGGAGGCGCGAATGTGTGAGGGACATTGCGGGTGTTGTTTTGCTATACAGGGCTTAGGAGTAAAACGAGAAAAGATAAAAATAAAATTCGGCAATGAGAACGACAACGGGGCAATCAACAGGCCTACCGGAGGGGAAGAAGCGGGACCAAGCCAAGGGAGGAGGACAGCGAAGAGAAAATTGTACATTGGGCTCATGGGCGGGCCAGTGGTAGGCAAGGGTGGAAGGACATGCTTATGTAGGAAACCCTCACCCCTCCGCAAGGGAGAAGGTATAGAAATATCATCTGACAGTGAGGGTGAAAAGGGAAGGGCAAATGTGGAAGAAAGAGGCAACACAGAAATGGGTGATAAGGCTCGGGTCTCTAACGAGGAAGGGGCCAACAGGGGCGAACCACGTGAGACTTGGCGAGGGGAAAGCGAGGGGGGACAAGGTATGCGCGACGAACGTGAGGAGGACGAGGAGAAAAGGGAGAGCCCGCTTGAAGGACGAAGCGGTCACTGCAGTTGAGAGGGGTATGGGATGGGGACAGAGATCCCTTTTACCTACGATCCAAAGAACCTTGTTGGTGAGTATAGCCTCATACAGACTGAAGACGAGGGGGATGAGGAGGAGGATGTGCGAGAAGTCATAGAAATCAGCAGCGGGGATGAGAGGGATGAGATCTCAAGGCCTAGGGAAGAGGGGCGGCCTCCGATGTACCAACCGGGCGATGGGGCTTTCAGATGGGAGGACGAGTTCGGGCCCACGCCCAGTCATTGGTTTCAGCAATGGACCAATGTAATCAGGCACGAATGAATTATCAAGACTCGGGAACTCGCAAGGGCAGGGGTGAAAGTCACACCACTGGATTTTTTTAACGAAGCAGAGTTGCATAAAATTGTAAGGATGAAAAGAGAGATCGAGACCTACGGCTTGCGGGTTAGGAAGCTGCCAAGGAACGGGGTGGACAAGGAACTGGGCAAGACGAGGCGCAAGGCAGCAATAGGAACTAGGTGTTGACTTAGCATTGAAAAGGATGACTGCTTTTCTGTTTGCAGAGACATGAGAATGACGAGAACGTGTATAGTATGGGCAAGCTTGCAAAGGATGAGTGAAGGAAGGGTCAGCTAAAGCTGCATCGCAATAAGATTAGAAGATAGCATATTGAGGCTACTTTTGGATGGGTTACCTTTGAAAGTGGGTACACAAGACAAAGACATGGGATTTAGGATGAGACCAATTGGGAGAGGGTGTATTGAGAATTCTGGATGGAACAAGGATTATACTTTTGAGAGGGGAAAACCTTGAGTACAGATTGACGAGCAAACCATGGCATGAAATGATTGGTCGAGTACAAGAGAGGTTAGGGAACCTATGGGTAAAGGGGCATGAAGAACACTCCTTCCCTAGGAGCCTAATCCAACTGAGTCATGAATGAGACTGATAATAGTCGAAATCTGAGAGATCAGGAAGAGTGAAAATGGAAGGGGCGCCTTTGTCTTTTGTTATGGATGAACGGCTGGGTGGGCTAGTGTTGCTTGGGGTCGCGAACCCCAACTCGAGTGCTAGACGCTAAGTCGGATGTACGCATGGATGGTACATTACTGTGAGAAATAAAATGGATGGTACATTACTGTGAGAAATAGAATGGATGGTACATTACTGGGAGAAATGGGATGAATGGTACATTACTATGAGAAATGGAAGAGAGAGAACAACACGCAAAAAATGAGATGGCCACCTTCTAACGTCCAAGACAGAAATGAGATCCGTAACCTCGAGGGCCACCCCCTCGGGCACTAACATTGAGAATGGAAAGGAATGACCCTAATCAGGCTGTTCGACTTGAGAATGGAAAAAAATGGCCCTAACCAGACTGTTCGACTTGAGAATGGAAAGGAATGGCCCTAACCAGGCTGTTCGACTTGAGAATGGAAAATAATGGTCATAACCAGGCTGTTCGACTTGAGAATGGATAAGAACGACCCTAACCAGGTTGTTCGGGAATGACCCCTGACAAGGGTCATTCCTTTTGAAATAGGCACTGGGGTCCCCTGCATATTGGATTGAGAAAGGTTGATTGAAAAAGGTTGATTGAGAAAGATTGATTGAGAATGAGCTGGGATGAGAGAAATGGAAAAGGCCGGTGGGTCGGTCATTGAAATAGCCAATGGGATGAATGAGAGAAATGGAAAAGGCCGATGAGTCGGTCAATGAGATAGCCAAAGGATGGATGAGAGAAATGGAAAAGGCCGGTGGGACGGTCATTGAAATAGCCAATAGGATGAATGAGAGAGATGGAAAAGGTCGGCGGGTCGGTCATTGAAATAGTCAATGGGATGAATGAGAGAGATGGAAAAGGCCAATGGGTCGGTAATTGAAATAGTCAAAGGATGAATGAGATAAATGGAAAAGGCCGGTGGGTCGGTCATTGAAATAGCCAAAGGATGGATGAGAGAGGTGGAAAAGGCCGGTGGGTTGGTCGTTGAAATAGCCAATAAGATGAATGGAGGAAGTGGAAAAGGCCGGTGGGTCGGCCGCTGAAATTGCCAAGGGGGCGGAAGAAAGAGGTGAATGAGAAGGACAGGATAAAGAAGGCGGAGCCTTAAAGCCGAGAAGGGCAGGGATTGTTGGGACGGTCACAGAGATTGGGTGTTGAGGAATGAGCAAATTGAGGATTGAGTGAGCGGAGGGGTCAGTCTTGAGAAATGGCTATTGAGAGAATGACCGCCAGACCGGCCAAGGGGGTGGCCTTGTTGATAAGAAGCTGTCAGATCAGCCATGAGAATCAACCTTGGAAATAGCATTGGATTGAATGATTGAGGATTGAATATTGCATTGCATAGGCAGGGGACCCTAAGCAACTTGAAATGGACTTGGAAATATCATTGAAATGAATTTTCTCTTTTTCTAGTCTTTGGCCTCAGCAGGAGGGGGATACCGGTGCTCGCACCGCGACCCCAAGACCTCTATCCCTGTAAGGGAAAAAGTCTCAGCGCGACCTGTTCCTCTTGTAAGGGGATGAGGGTTAAAGGACCAAGGCACCTACCACTTGGATCGGTGCGGGGCGTCCGGAACTGACCCCGACAACGAGCTCTAGTCGGGAAGTTCAAGTTCCGCCTCGTGTTGAACGCCTAAGCGTCAAAGGGTGAGGGAACCAAATGGGCGAGAGAGCCATTCTTTTTTTCTAGTCTCTTTTGTTCTCCCCAACCACACGCCATGTCGTTGAGGGGCGCCATGACCGATGGAATGGACCACGGCGGCTCGCGTTAAGTTGAGCAGCACTTTCCAGAGGGAGGAGTTGAGCGTGGTATCGAGTGGAAGCCACAACCACCACGGGGCATTGACACCGCCCCGCCGGAGCATTACAAC